CCAGCTAATGGATCACATCTTTCCTTCTGGCTTATATTTGGTACAGAAAATTCCAGCAGGACTTATGGAAGTCTTACTCATAATTTCAAATTCTTTAGAACTTGTGTAATATAATATTCATCATATCAAGAACCACTGAATGGGGGAAAATAGAGGCTACACTCAAAAGAATAATAGCAATAGCATTTAGACTTATATACTGTTTCACAAGACTTTACAGCCCTGTCTAAGAGACATTATATTGCACCCAACACTCTGGATCCTCATTTTACCCACCTCGGAAGGATGGAAGGCTGAGTCAACCTTGTTGACTAGAACAAGAACTATATTTAATTAAATTCAATTCAAGATTTTTTAAAAATGAGACGCAGATTGGTCCCGCATTTGGAAAAACAAGAAATTATGTTGGTTAACTATACATATACACACACACACACACACACACGAGTCATATATACAATGCTAATTCCTATTTGAAGGAAAATATGTGATGCTAATTCCTATTTGAATCATGACCTTGTAGCAACTAAGTACAGTATTTAAGGCTTGTTTCTACTTATAACAAATGTACTACATATGGGAATGACAATTTTTATTGTCAGAGTTTTCTTTCTATTAGGATCCTTAGCCGAATATTTGCATCTCAAAGTAGACAAGCTGAGCCACTGTTTAACAGCACTAAGACAAGAATCGTAGTTTATGAAACAAAGTGACTGGAATTATAGACCAGGTTAAGCCAAAAGTGAATAACCTGCTTCTTGTTTAATCAAACCCCTGAATGGAGAAAAGCCATGATCAGGCTTTTCATAGATTTTAATGTGTTTCTTATAACCACATTTCAGGGAGACGTTTTACACCTCAACCCCTCTTTCCCCTCCATTTATTTTTTCCTTTATCCCCCCCCCCCTCCTCAGCTATTTGGATAATGGAAATGTCAAAAGCAGCTTTAGAGCCCAGTTGGTCTAAATCAGGAAAATAACATTTAAAAAATGAAGAAAAATCTTCACTGCAACAATCCCAGTAAGCAGAGACAATACTTAGAAGTGATGGAAGTTATAATCTAACATCTGTCAGGTTACAGCAGCCCTTTCTGTGCTTAAAAAAAATGCCACATTCAATTTTTTCCTCTCATTTATAAAAAGCAATATGAAACTAATTTGACCTGCTGTATCCAATAATATACATATAAAGTCTTTTTATTGCCAAATAATGCACTTAGTATTAGTTTCCAAGCAAACTGACCTCCGTGACAGAAATTAACATTTTCCTCCCTGAATGTTATTTTTCTGAATATATTTCATAGATGTAAAAAGAAACTACTCAAAATTGTGAATCAAAATTAATAACAGAGAACAAAATAAAATGTAAACTCACTTGCATTTTTCAGTGAACTCTTTCCCTTTTATTTTTCTGCATGAAACCATTGATAAATTGGGCCAGCAGACAGTGTACTGTATATACTCGAGTATAAGCCTAGTTTTTCAGCCCATTTTTTGTGCTGAAAAAATCCCCCTCGGCTTATACTCGAGTCAGATTCCCCTCTGAAAAAAAAATGGTGTGGAGTCGCGGCCTCCGGCGGCAGCGACTCCCAACAGCCCCAGCCGGGAAGGGAAAGGTAAAAAGCGCTTTCCCTTTCCCTTCCCGAGGCGGCGGGACTGGGGCCGCGCCGGCGGTAGTGACTCCTGACTCAGGGGGCCTTTGAGGGAGGGGAAGAGAGTGACTCCCGCCTCCCGCTGTCATCATCTTCTTCTTCTTTTGGGTTAGTGAATCAATTAAACCTTTCATGATAGTGAGATCGTTTCCCAAATTAATTATTTTTATTTTTGAAATTTACCAGTAGCTGCTGCATTTCCCACCCTCGGCTTATACTCGAGTCAATAAGTTTTCCCAGTTTTTTTGTGTAAAATTAGGTGCCTCGGCTTATATTCGGGTCGACTTATACTCGAGTATATACGGTATGTCAGGGTGTCAAACTTGATTTCATTGAGGGCCGCATCAGGGTTGTGTTTGACCTTGTGGGGGGCTTGGGGGGGGCATGGCCAGGGGGGCATGGCCAGCTCAATGTCACTTGTGTCGGGGCACCTGTGATGGCCCAAGAGCCCTCACCAGCTCTGTTTTCTCTCGCAGGAGGCCATTGCAGCTGAAAACGGAGTTCGGGGTGGGGGGTTGCGCAGCATTCCCAAGCTCTATTTTTGTAGGCAGAGGGTTGTAAGATGGAGCTCAGGGGGACATGCACGGACTCCTGAGCTCCATTTTCGCTGACAGAAGCACCATGAGCCGGTCCTTCGATGTGTATAAGGTGGCCCCATGGGCCAGATCTAAGTACCCCACAGGCCAGATTTGGCCCATGGGCCTGGTGTCTGTGGAAGAGCAGGCATCTCACTGGAAGAGTGCGTGTCCATAAATTCTCAAGTTCTGAAACTTTGAAGAAAAGTTGCTTTCAATCAAATCTGAAGTTCTGATATCTATAAAAGAAATACTCACGCTTCTCTACCCAAATAGAATTTTGGGGTATATTTAAAAGGCAATTCGCCATTGATTTTCCCAAAACATAGCCAGCCTTTATTTTACTGTCATACTCTCTAATCTTCCTTCTATGCTAGATCTTCATCTGGAAATTAATATAGTTTTTGCACTATTTTTTTTCTTAAAAAAAAAACACCCCTCATCCTCAGACCACTTCCTGCCCTCAAAATATGTCATCCCCTCCCCCCGCTTCCCTAGAGTTTGGGAACTCTAGACAAATAATGCCTACTGAATTAACTGATCTCATATGAGAAATCTTACTACCCTAGAAGATAACTATTGTTATGGTTCTACTATATGTTTGATTGCTGATTGACCTTAGTCATGAAAGCAAAGTAAACATGGAATTAGCTAAAACAGGATGTACTTTACAAGTAGCAAGAAGGCAAACATATAATTATAATTTTATGAGAATAATTGTACATTCATGTTCACTTTTCATCCCAACGGAAGATTTCAGAATAAAAGTAAACATGCATGGGAAACTGCTGTAAAGCTTTGTAATCCTAGACAGACTTGCCATAAAAAGGTCACACTTGCAACAGGAAACTGGACAGAAGATGCAGTATCAGTCACTTAGGTATCCTTCTAGGTGACTGATACAGAAACAAGATCCCTCTCTGAAAAATAGCAATATAAAGTTTGAGACAACCATCTAAATACTTCATTTAATGTTGATGTTGATGTGCATTTCTTTTTTTTTCTTTTTTAAGAATGATCCTACCTTAAAAAAAAGATACTCACATTTAAAATGGATATATTTGGCTTTATTCAAAGAAAGAAACACCAAGCTTTACTGAATGATAATTCCAAAACAAACAAAGAAAACCCAATATCTTTATTATAATTAATTAAAATCCAGCAAATTGTGAACAAAGCTTTATGTTTGCCTCAAGCCGTCATCAGACCGGATGTTAAGCAAGATAGATGGTCTGTTGTTGACAGTTAATTTTTTGATTCTCATTTTGCACTATGCCATGGTTGGCTTGAATTGAACTGAATTGAATCTACTGAATAAACCACAACTCAGTATTGAATATATGGGTCCATACAACATGGTAAATTTACTATAAATAGCAATAACACTTAGACTTATATACCACTTCACAGTGCTTTACAACCCTCTCTAAGCGGTTTACAGAGTCAGCATGTTGCCTACAACAATCTGGGTCCTCATTTTACTGTCCTCATGTTACTGACTGATGGTAGGCTGAGTTAACCTTGACTGTTTGTGAGAATTGAACTACCCAACTGCTGGCAATTGGCAGTTAGCAGAAGTAGCTTGCAGTACTGCATTCTAACCACTGCCCCATCTTGGCTCCCTAAATCAACCATATTACCTGAGGGTTTTGTTCTGTGTAAGAGTCTAGCCACCTTGATTATGCAAAAGAGTTTGAAAACCTAACTGTAATCATCATGCACTAACTGGCAGATTTCTAATTGGCATATTTCTAACTACATCAACAACAAAGACGACAAAGTCATCCTTAACTCTCCTGCTTTCCATGTTTTCACTTCTTCTGCAACAAGGCTGGTACTGCATACACCAAAGGATGATAGCTGGAAGATGAAGTCTGAGACTCACAGCCTGTCCTCAGGTTCTTCTTGCTTCTCATGACTCTTAGAGGTCTGTCTTATATGTCTAGCAACATATCTAGAACCATATCTGGATACACGGGGAGAAAACAGGGCCAGTGGTCACAGCTCCAGCAGCTGCACTGGGTCAGGGCAAACAAGCAGTGGAGGAGCAAAGGCACAAAAGTTACCCGCCTTTACATCTACCGGTACTTCTTATAAGTGTGTCAGGGTGACACAGTTTTGAGGCTACAGGTCCACCCACAGATTAATCCTTGGGCAGAGCAGGCAAAGGGATTTTGGGAGGGTAGAGGGTAGAAGGTCTACTCAATAGTTAATATAGCTATGGATTAGCAGACAGGAGCAGAGGGTTTCAATTTTACTGCCCTATTTCCTCCACATTTTGCCAATGCAAAGAACTACAGGATTTCCTAGAACGGAGTCCAGCTGATCCACCTGCAAGGATAATCTAAGGTCTGAATGTAGTGGAGGCACCCAAAGCTGGTCTTGCATTAACTCCGTAGATCCTTTCAACTGACCAGGCAGGTAAGGCAATTGTGCCCTGCACAATTTCTTTTCTCCAGGCTGCAAACTTAACGCTATTTCCACGCTTACGCTATTTCTCCGCCAGTCCTTTCTTTTTTCTTTTTCTTTTTAAGGAGATGAGGGTGGGTCAGGCCAGGGTGCGATGCGGAGAACTTTTTTTTTTTTTTGCGCGGAGAACTCAGCGCTTCTCGCAAGCCGGCCGGAGACTCCCGAAGGCAGCAGCTTGCAGAGCGGGCGGGGCAACCCATCACCACTTCGGGGAAAGGAAAAGGGCCGGGATTGCTTGGCTGGCGGGTTGGTCGAGAAGTTCGCGAGGCGGGGCTCCGCGCCGCAGCAGGCAGGCTGGGGAGTTCCACCCCGTGTCATTTCGCCGCGGGAGGCAAGCGCTCCGCAAGCAGCAGCCTCCTTCCTGATCTGGAGGTGGGAATCTCCGCCGCGCTCCCCCTGCGAAGGAAACGCGGGGCGCCTACTAGGACGGGTGCGTGTGATACCCGGCGCTTGGTCGCCGGTCCAAGTGCCTGCTGAACTGCTCCTGGGATGAGGTAAACCTGGTGGCTGCTTGGGTTTGGCCAACATCGCTTGCCAAGAACTTTATAGGGTTACCCGAGTTGCTCAAGCAACGTCAGCAAAGCGTTTTAAATGTTGGAAACCCGTTAAATAAATTCTCTTTTTCGCTGTGAAAGTTTGAATATTAAGAAAAGTCGAGTTCGTTGTTATTGAGCAAACTTTCCTCAGGTGCCTTGACACTATTGTATTGCTGTTTTCCTACTCTGCAACTGCAAAAGCTTTCCAAAAGTATTACCTGTGGAGCCAATTCAACACTATTCTTTATTATATTATTTTCCTTTCATGGCATTATTTTTACCTACCTCTCCACCCCAAGAACAGAGTCCTTGCTTTGTTCGGGTATTTTCCCACGTCATTGTAGTTGTGCTTTTAAAGTTGTAGCAACTTTTTGGCAGAATCTCATCTGCCATCATCAGGCTTCTGTATTGTGTTCATCTGTGAGTCAGACTTTCGCAGGCGTTTCAGTTTTTGTGAAAGTTTTGTGAAAGTTTTGCTGTGAAAATCTGACTCACAGACGAACACAATACAGAAGCCTGATGATGGCAGATGAGATTCTGCCGAAACGTTGCTACAACTTTAAAAGCACAACTATAATGACGTGGGAAAATACCCGAACAAAGCTGAATACTATACATGTAAGTACCCGCGAAAACTTAAGAAAATTATATATATATATTATATAATTATATATATATTACCCATCTTGCTCACAATGACTTTTGGTGACTTAGTGGCTTTTAATGCATTTATAGTGGGCGCTTTCTAATATAGTTTGTTTTTCTATTATAAGTATGTGCGTAACACTTATTTTATTCCAAGAGAATGTAATGATTGTGCTGTTGCCAGGATTACATAAATGGAAGCTTTCTTTAAATTTAAGAATTTTAGTCGGGAATATAAAAATCCTGAGAAGTTAAGCAAAGTTTAGAATAGCTTCCCCTAAAGTAGGACCTTCCCATGATCCCATCGGTGACCGAAAGGTCATTGACAGAGAAATTAGAGGGCACCCATTTGTAGATATTTGAGCCAAATGAAATATCTTTCTGGATAATCTGGAATTATCAAAGTTTTTATGCAACAAACAAACGTCTTCAGATCAAAGCAGGATTAAAACTAAATAGTCAAAAAAGCAATGGCTTATTGTAAATATTGCTCACTATGCAAAGATAGAAACTGGAAAAAACCTTCCTTGGGGAATTGAAATATTTACATTCTACGTAAAAATAAACTATTTTTAAATATATTGTAATCCAGTTGCTTGACACTGGCTTTAATTTTTGTTTCTTTTATAATCATCTGTGTAGATAACCTAGTTGATCTCAGTGGAACTCATTTATAAATTGTCTATTGCAGTTCAGAATTGCCTGAAAATTACTTTCAGAGATATGCTTTATTAGTCTCATGCAGCAGAAATATGAATCTCACAAAACTTTGATGACTTGAAAAAGTTATTATTGTATATCCAAATGTGCTCCCACCCCCACCCTCCAAAAATGGCAACTATACTTTTTTTTAATTTTTCTTCACCTCTGAAGAAAAATCATTTCTAACTAACTGATGGGGAAGGAAGGATTTATACTCGGTTAAAAGAATTGCAAGCAAATAAAACTCAAGGCACAATGCTGGTGGAAAGGAGAGGATCCATTTATTCCCAAAACCTAAGAGGTTTGCTCTTGGTGGGTAACTACAGGGAAATAGAGTTTGTTTTATAGGAGGACTTGTCCTTAGTAGTGTGAGCCTTGCGGGGAGAAGGGTAAGTGGTGTTGTAGTGTGAGATTCTGTCAAAGGTCTATCTTAATTTCCTTCTTGATGTCAATTGGCTGGCCTTTTGTGGTGTAGATGGTGGTTTGGGCAACCTATTTGTGGGTGTGGGGAAGTGTGACTGAACAACTTCTTTGTCTGATACTTGGATTTGGTACTTGGTTTTGCTCTTGTTAATTGATAGTTTGAAGAAGTAATTCAACAATCTATTGTTACAAGGTATTTCCCGTAGTTTCTAGTCTTGATGGATCATGGTTTTGTGTTAAAGGTTAAGGGATAGACGAGGCAGTGATATAAAGTTAATTTGGAATGAAGAATCTCCTATGGTTATTATTGATTATTAAAATAACACTCTTCCCCCAACTCTTTTCAGTCAGACAATCATTAACACTTTAAGAGTTGTCCAAAATACCTGGGGGTTAATCTGTGTCCTCAGAGTACCTGAGTCAAGACTGCAAACCAATGTGGAACTATCTTGGGACTGCTTAAAGGACTGCATTGTTAACAGGAGATAGGTGCTGTGGTATCTGCCCCCTCCCCCCCCACACACACACACTACTTATCTCCTGTTTACAATGCAATCCTTGAAACTGTTTATCTTCCGCCTACAATGAAGTCCTTTTAGCAGTCTCAAGACAGTTCACACTCATCTGCACTCTGATTCAGGCACTCTGAGAACACAGATTAACCCCCAGGTGGTTTCAATGACTCTCAAAGTGTTAATAACTGGCTGATTGAAAAGAGTATAAATCCTGCCTTCCCTACCAGTCAATTAGAAATGAAGAAGCTTCTTGGAGGAAAAAGTTAAATGTCTTCAACAAAAAAGAAAAAAAAAAGTCCAGTTGCTATTTGGAAAAAAAGCACCTTTGGAACAAGGATGGCCTGGATGACTGAGAATCCCCATGGACATTTATTATTGTATACATTTTAATAAATATGACAAAATGGCCTTTTTCTCTCAGTAATGTCCCTTTTGTTTCTTGTCATTTCTTTCCTCTGCCATTTAGTGTTGATTGCAATAAAGAGATATGCATTACAGAAGTTTGGACCCGTTTCTTGCACAATCATTCTAAGGGCTGTGTGGATTCAAGGACCTCACTCTCTAAACAGTTTACAAATGTCAGCATCTTGCCCCCCAAGGGTCCTCATTTTACTGACCTTGGAAGGATGGAAGGCTGAATCAACCTTGACCCAGTCAGGATCAAACTAGTAGCTGTAGGTAGAATTAGCCTGCAATATGGCATGCCTAATAGAAAATCTAGCAGTCTCGTTCAGACACTCAAGACTTGTACCCTGGTGAATTATAGTATTACCCAGCCATTATTGTGCTGATTTAAAGCCTGTCTTAATTCATCACAGGATTCTAAATTAGTAATGTGAAATGTGTTTTTTTTTCCCCCTCTCTCATTCAAGGTCAGTACTTTGATCCCTACTTCTACCACTCCTGAGTTTTAAGAACATAAACCCATTTTTATAAGTTCAGCTGGATATATGAGCTTGCCTTCAAGGGAGATGTGCATAGAGCAGACAAGGACATTGAATATGAAACTAGAAAGTGAACAAGTTCCACTTCCTCTCATATTTTGTTTGAACATGCCATAAGAAACCTTTTGGAAAAGAGTTTATATCCAGAGACTGTAAATTAGACTAAAGTTTTCTTCTATAACAAAGAGATAGGTGTCTTAAATTGTACTGACATCTGCTGCAGTTGGAAACATTTACAAAAGCATATTATGAGCTTGTTATAAGCTAAGCAGGTATTTTTCCAGTTATAAAGTGAAAAGTAGGTGTGAAAAGAAATGTAAACAGCATTGTTTAAATATTACACATGTTAATAGTGGACAAGGCAAATTGGGGGTATTCTGTTCTGGCTAAAGACTTCAATTTCTGCTAATTCCATTTGTTCAGGAGTGGATGGATTAGTAAATGGAACTGAGTATGTAGGGTTAGGTCCTAAATCTTCTTCCAGTGAGATGACTGGGAGGGAAGCAAGTCATTCATGTATTGTTGGTTTTAATCTAAAAGAGAGAGAAATAAAAACAGGAATCAAGCTCTTTGTCTCCTGTCTTATCTAATCTGCCTTATTTTTCTTATCTGATTCCTCTAACCCAGCATCATTGTCTAACAAATTAGAGGAACAAAGAAAAATAAAATTGTTGCAAAACAAGTTCCAGATACTTCAGTATTTATTTACTTCAGTAAAACATTAACATTTGAGTAAGAAAAAAAAACTGCAAAAGGTTGTCCTTTTTATTACATAGTTTGTTATCAAATTCCTTATTAGATTTATCTAAAAAGGTCTTCAATTTTCTCATAATTTTAAGAGAACCAATTCTGTATATTGGTTAAGTCACTGGAAATATTGAGGCCAGATTTAGGCTGTAGTCCCAGCCTAGATCTGAAACTAACTAGGTGACCTTGAACTAGGCACTTTCACCTACAAAGCAGGTAATGGCAAGCCACTTACAAAATCTTACCAAGAAAACCACAGAGACATGTCCAAACAGATACCAGAAGTCAAGACTGACTTAAAGGCACCAAAAACAAATGATGCTCTTTCTGGTATGACATGTTGAGGCAGCCCAAAGGAATGTAAACAGTTCAAAATTAGTAAATAAGTTACTTTAAAATCAGCTAATGACATTGTTTTGAAAAGTTGTCAGTAATTAATCATTTGATTAATTAAAAGAAATGATTTTATTTCTAAAAGTTGCTTCTGAATAATCATGTATTTATGTGTGTGTGTGTGTGTGTGTATTGCTATTGGCAGAATTCATCTAAAATGTAAGCGAGACTATTCTGGGTATCTGTTTTACAAAAAAGTAATAAAGGGAGCAGTTTGCACACTTGTTTTTCTTTCCTGCAGATTCAGAGAAGGGGTGCTTAACCATTTCAATATACCAATCTTGCAGATGTGTTCTTCTCCCCATGTTTCTTCGCACATTTTCAAGCAAGCAACAGTTGGAGTAAATAAAAATGGGAATGGGAAAACATAACAAGTTATTTCTTGCGTAATAGTAAATTTGGCCCTAAGTAAAGATCAAAATCAGGGACTACCTGAAACATCTGCATTATTGTTTTAAAGTATTTTGAACTATAGTTTTGGGATTCGAACCCAGCTAAAATTTTAAAAATGTATCTTGAGTCAAGGTTCTTCAGCTCTGATATACAAATATGGGGAGAACCTTTGAGATTTAGGATTTTTGGAGGCTCA